GCCTTTTCCACTGCTGCCCCTAAACTGTGGAACTTCCTTCCCAGGGAGGCCAGATTGGCTCCCTCCTTGCTGTCATTCCACCGGCAGACAGGCATTTAAAACAGGTTTTTAAAGAATGGGATGGGTCCTATATTCTTTTACATGTATTTTAAACACTTTTATCTTTTTAACTATATTTTATTATTTTATATGCAATCTGTTTTAATATTGTCATAATTTAATTCTGTTTTAATGTAATACTTTTCTAAGTTTTTAATTGTACTGTTTTTAATCTTGTAAGCCGCTCTGAGTCCCAGTTTTGGAAAAGGGTGGGATATAAATAAATATAAAATATAATAATCCTGCCTAAGAAATTTTGCCTTGGCCAGCTAAGCCCACACTATCTAAAGGAACGTATCATCCTATATGGGCCTGCCTGTGCTCTGGGATCTTCAGGTGAGATGCTTCTGTTGCTCACACCATCCTCACAGGCAAGCTTAGTGGGGATGCAAGAAAGGACTTCTCTGTGGCTGTTCTCAGGCTCTACATTTCTCAGGAGACTACAGTGGCACTTTGTTTACCTGTTCCATCCAGCTATAACTCTGGAGAGCAGTGTCTAAATCCCTGCTTAGTCATGGAAACTCACTAGATGACGTTAAGCAAGTGACTCTCTCTCAGCCTCAGAGAATGGCAATGCCAAACTCCCTCTGAAGAAATATGCCAAGAAAACCCCAAAAGCCTTAGGGTCGCCATGAATTTGAAACAATTTGAACGCACACAACAAACATAGTAAGATATATTGGAGATGGGAACTAAGGGGGGATGCAGATGACGAAAAGTACCGTCTTCAATCCCAGGAAGGGGGAGGGGCAGCCGGACGCTGGGCACCCCATCCCCTTCCTGAGGACATCATTGGAGCGACGGCCCATCCACACGACGGGCGCTCTGCTCTGATGATGACCTTCCGGCTCAGCGTCCGGACACGCTGAGCCAGAAGAGACGCCGAAGAGGTGTGCCACGCCTCTTGCAGTGCCCCTTTGTGGCTTGTGGAAGGAGTGCTATTTTAGTGCTCTTTTCGCAGGCAGTGAAAGGGAGGATCGTGGCCGAGGTGTCTGGCAGCCTCGGCTTCAATCCTCCGCTTCCGGGGGCAGCCCAGGCTGCCTGTCTTCATCCCTGCTTAGTCTAAACACAAAATTCATTTATGTTTCAAATATACCTTATACAGAGCCTGAAGGTAATTTTTATACAATATTTTAAATAATTTTGTGTGTGAAACAAAGTTTGTGTGCATTGAACCATCAGAAAGCAAAGATGCCACTATCTCAGCCACCCATGATTTTGGTTTTTGGAGTATTTTGGATTTCAAAATTCTGGGTAAGGAAGACTCTGCCTGTACTAGAAAAGGGCTTTTTCGGTGTGCTGTACTGCTTTTATTCTTGGCTTTTAAATCAAAGTTTAAATGATTTTAATTCTATTCTATTTAATTATTATTCTATTATTAAATTTTATTTAATTATTCATATTTTTGGTGTTTTTAGCTCCAGGCCTTTGACTTCGTACTTGATAAAGTGGGCCCTTGGTATCTGCTGGGGTTTGGTTCCAGGACCCTCTGTGGATACCAAAATCCGAGAATGCTCAAGTCCCATTGATTACAATGGCATAGTGAAATGGTGTTCCTTATATAAAATGGCAAAATCAAGATTTGCTTTCTGGAATTTATATTTTTTGGAATATAATAATAATAATAAGTTTTATTTATATCCCGCTCCTCTGCAATGCAATCAGAGTGTCGAACAAAATTAAAAAGAACAAAGTTAAAACAATTCCATCTCATCCTCAATCCCTAACCCACCCACCCCCATAAAATCAAATTAAACTGTATCATAAAGTAAAAAGTCGTGGATGCTTGAATCATGGATAAAATAAAAAATCTGTGGGTATGGAGGGCTGACTATACGTTTCTCAGAGGGGGGGCTGGGTAACTTCAAATGAAGAAGCCATCTGAAATGCCTTTGTTCACAGTTAGCTTACATCCAGAAGGAGTGTAGAGATCAATTTTTACCTACATTCACTTCCTAAAACATCCATAATGTAGACACAATATTGTCACAATACAAAGACTACAATATTGCCACTTTCTTTCCCTTATATGCTACTATAGTATTTTTGCCTGATAAAGAATCCTGTGAAGCTTTGAAAGCTAGCATGATTTTTGCTTTTTGACTGGCCCAATAAAGGTATCATCACAAGAGCAGTGTGGGTAAGACATAAACATGTGAAAGGTGTTAACAAATTCAGAAGAGAAGAGTAGAAACAAGGGTGAAGCACGAGTAAAATAAGAAGTAATTCTAGTTAGCATTCATTACACTAGCCTCCTTCTCTTTTAACCCTGTCTTTTTCCTAAAATTGGGACTCAGGGTGACTTACCATTTAAAATAACTACAATATAGCTAAAAACATAGAAAAATCAACATTAAAATAGATTTGAAACTACACACAATATTAAAACAATTTAGAACAATACCTAAAAAAGATAAAATGTAGTTAAAAACATTTCCATAAAAAACATTCTGCACCCTATAAAGCTTTTTCTTTAAATACGTTCACTTCGAAAAACCTCTCTAAATAATTTATTTATTATTTATTATTTTTAAAGTATTTCTGTATCACTACCCAGCTCACAAGGGCTCCCGAGGCAATGAACAAATAAAAAACAATTAAAACAATACTAAGATAAAAACATTTTAAACCACATTAAAATACTCTTTTAAAACTCCCAAACGCACTGTTAAGAACAATCCTAGAATCCAGTTTTGAAATAGTTAAAACAGCAACAGAATCTCATCTGAAGATGTCAAATTTCTGTGAAGCTCATAAGGGAGGAAGTGGCCTTTCAGATATCTTGGTGCCAAGTCATTTAGGGCTTTGGAGGTCAACAAACCTTGAACTGAACTAGGAAGCAAAACGGAAGCCAATGTAGTTTTTGCCAGCGTGGCTTAATGGTTTCAGTGTTAGACTATAGACTCTGGAGACCAGATTTCGATTCCTTGCTCAGCCATGAAACCAAATGGGTGACCTTGGGAAAGTCATATGCTCTCAGCCTCAGAGGAAGGCAATGACAAACCCTCCTCTGAACAAATCTTGTCAAGAAAACCCCATGATAGGCTCACCTTAAGGTAACACACATACACACATATGAAGTTTTTGCAGGACCAGTGCTACGTGTTGCATTTTGTACTATCTGCAGCTTCCAAACACTTTAAAAGGGCAACCCCACATAGAGTGCATTGCCATAGTCTAAAAAAAAGCATGAGCAACTGTGGCCAGATCAAAAACATCTTTGCCTGTCAGTGGAAGGGCAATGAGGAGAGGACCATTCTAGCCGCCCTCAGAAGAAAGTATCACAGCCAAGGGGCAGTCGTAGCCAGCACTTAGAATTGTGCCTTGAGATTAGCAGCCAGAGGAGCCGCTGTAATAAGGGAACTGTACAGCTTCTATGCAGTGGCTCAAGTGGTTAAGACACTGACTCTGTTGATTGCAAGATTGGCAGGTTGGCAGTTTGAGGCCCAGGTGCTGCATGATGGGGTGAGCTCTCGTCACTAGTCCCATCTTCTGCCAACCTAGCATTCTGAAAGCATGCAAATGCAAGTATATAAATAGGTACCACTTTGGTGGAAGGTAAACAGCATTTTGTGCAATCAAGCTGGACACATGATCACAGAGTAGTCTCTGACAACGCTGGCTCTTCGGCCCCTTATGGTCGGACAACTTGACAACCTTGTCAGCGGGGAATACCTTTACCTTTACCTTTATGTACTATGTCAATTATGTAGCATGATCAACATAAACAAAAGAGAACTTGCTGGAAAATATTTGCTTACAAGACAGGCACGAGAAATTCTCATCATAAGACAGAGGAAGTTTCAATGATTAAGGAATTTTGCATTTTGAACAGAAAGGCAACACATTCAAGGTGTGAATGCAGGGTGTTACTGTTTGTAAGGCAGCCACTAGAGGGGGAACACAACACACTTAAGTGCTGTATACCTTGTCAACTAGGATACAGAAAAACAAAATTATTTTGGCCATTTCTCTCCCTTACCTTTCCTCCTTTTTTCATGTCATAATTACTTTATAAAACACAGTAATCCTTACAGTTGTTCCAAAAATTTGGAAACTTGTTATTTATATCTATTTAAAAGGAGGCAAGGTGAGAAGGCAGTAAAGATAATCTTTTCAAGTAGAAGAAAAACACTGAAGACATTGTGATAGACGGACCAAACAGAAACAGGACATAGCCTTAAAACACTTGGTTCTGCACATACTAAAGATGGATAATGCCCATAATCAATATTGTAAAATAGAGTTCTATTTTTTTTAAACTGCAGCAATTTTTCACTAGAATGGAGGATTTCAGTGACTCAAAAATGAAAAGCACTCCTCCCCCCCAAAAAATGTACCTTTATTTTCATATTTGCTTTCTGTGTTGTGTATGTAGGCATAATAGAGTAAGTAAGTAACCTCAGAAAAGCATGGGGTGTTTAGGGGACAGTGACAGGAACTGCAGGCAATGACATGGCATTAGCACTTGTTTCAAGTCAAATATCATCTCCTGACTT